TGAGTCTGAAGAACAAGAAGGCCTTAGGTCACCACCACCCTTTCCCCCAGCACCTCCCCACCTGACATGGGATGCCGTGGCATTCTGCATATAGGGAAAAGGTCACAATTTAGTCAAGTCACATCTACACCATTGCAGTGCATGCAATTTTTAAAAAGTAGAAAAAAAGAGAAAAGCTTAGTTATTCCTAAACTAAATAACCCATAAATGTCAAGGGCACTTGAAGGTAATGAATTGTTAAATTAAAGGGTGTTTGGGTGTTATTTGTGATTAGGGTGAGGGAGTGGGACTTGGCTTTAATTTACAAACAAATTAGAAAAATAAATAAATAGACTCAGCATTGCTATTGTAACTGGAAATGGCTTGGGCAAATTTAATCCAACTCCCCTGAGAATACTTGATTAATCTCAGACCTGGGAGGAAAATCAAGATAAGAGAGGAAGTCTCCATCTCTAAGGGCAGAGGAACTTGGGGCCTCCAGTGCCCACAAAGGGCATCACATGACCCCTCGGGGGGTCCATTTCTCTGAGTTCCCTGCTTCTCTCCTGGTTCTGGCCTCAAGTCCATGAGAAATCTGTCCCAAGCTACCGGCCTTTACTGCCTGGCCCTGAGTTGGAGACCTAACCCCCAGGATAGCCTAGAGATGAGACAAATAGGAGCCCCAAATTTAAGATGTAGCTCAACCTTTGACCACTAGAGGTCTCCTGAAAAGCAGTGACCCGTATAACCCGGTTTATCCTTCAAACCAATAGACTTGTTGCACTAAGACTTGGCAAGCCTGCTCTGCCGGAGGCCGCCTTATGAATAACGCCACCCACCCCCTCACTATGGCGCCAGGCTTGCCAGGGGGAGGAGACTAGGCGGTGGCTGACCCTCAGAAAGGGCTGGCTTTTCAATCCACGAATCAGTCTCAGCCTCTGGGGCTACCCTCCTCGAACCCCATTTCTTGACCGAGCAGAACGAGAGAGAGCCCCTAACTCGAGGTCCCCAGGTGGGCATTGCGGAGTCCCACGGCCTTCCAACACACGATAGGCTAGCCAAGGGACCAACGTGCAGAATCACCTAGCATCAGATCCACCAG